GCACATAAGAGAATAAGTGCACATACACTATGCAATGCTTGACAGTCCAGTATTTTTCAATTCATGTTACCGAAAATGTCGTAACGGTAATGAAATCTATGAATCACAACCAATGAATCGAATTTTATAGAGGTTCGATGAAATTTACCAACTCTCGCCATGGATATTTGCTTTGTAGCGAGGAAGAAGAAATCGTTGCACTGTTCCATGCTAGCAATGAAGCCTGTTCCAGCAAAGTTTTTTCTAAGGGATTTAGTTAGGCCATCATAGTATGCCTTGGCAAGCTGAACTCTGCCTCCATGGTCCTCACAGACATACTCCAGAGTCTGTTCAAAACAAAGAGGGAGGCCTTAAACAAAATAACACGAAAAAAATTTAAAAATATATATAAATTCAGAAAGAAAACTTTTGTCAAAAGGAAAAATATTGATATAGGCCCTTTTTGAGCCAAATTATTATAGAATGAAAATGAAAAATATAGATGTTATTGGGGTCCACATAAAAGATAGAAAATTTNCTATTTATTTAGGACATGTTCTTTGTGTTGTAATAGACAGTACATGACAATATAACATATATATAACATAAATATTGATGTGATGAATAACGGTCATATTTTTCATTTTAATGAGATAATAATGTAGATCAAACAGGGGTATAGTAGTCCAAGGTCTAACTGAAAGTCGAAACGATATTTTTCATTAAAATTACTCAGATCGAAAACCAAAATTGATGAACTCGAAATATGAATTCATTTTCAGCATAATTATAATAACTTAGGGTCTGTTCTCTTTACCATTTTCAAACTGTTTTCTCTTTTCGATTTTTCAAAACAGTGAAAACGCGTTCTCTTTTCTATTTTCGAAAACGCGTTTTGGAAAACAAGTTAAAAATTTACAAAGAAAACACAAAACGACAAATTTGTTGTTTTGGGTGTTTTCAATTATAACCAAACCAAAATTTTCAAAACAAGTTTTGGGTGTTTTCAAAACAATTTTTCAAAAAGCCAAAAAGAACACATTTTCAACAATCTCAAAATGAATACTCAAAACATAAAACCCAAAATGAATTCAAAATTCAAAATACAAAACTGAAATACAAAAAGAACAACCCCTTAGTTACTTGATATTTGCACGGTGAACGTTCTTTAACTATGGAAGTTTTCTTATTAAAAGAATGGAAACTGATGGTGGTGGTGGAAATTTTGATCCTACCATAAATATATCCAATGTTATGCAATACTCAATCTGATAAACACTTACATGAATAACGTCAACTTTCACGCCTGTAATACCGATATCAGCAAGGTATGAATGCATAGCCTCGTAATGATCTGCAGCTTGATTTGGATGAACGAGTCCAATACCGCCTTTTTCAACCATGACAACAGCCAAATCATACATGGTATTTGCCAATCCGGCAGTCATTTTTGCTGAGGTCACCTTGGCATTCAAATGTGTTGTTCCAGGCCTAACCCCACCCCAAGCTCCACATAAAGCATGCCACACGTAAACTTCGTCCAAAGTTGGAAATTTCTCCCTCAAGTCACTGATTAAGGCCTTTAGCCCTCCTCTTTCGACGCCTTCTTGTTCTTTCAAATATTCTATAATCGTTGCCTCGGGAAGGCCCGGTTCGACTCCACCTCGTGCCTCAAGGGCCTTCTTTTTCTCCGCAAGCTCCACCATTTCCTTAAACATCTTGTCATGCTTTTCTTGATCGAATCCTGGTGCATCGTGTCTTAACATGGTACCAGCCTGATATTTGGCAAACTTCTCATTTTCCTTGAACCGGTACAGCCTGGAAAGCATTTGGGACCCCAAACCTGTTAAATCTTTTGAGTCCTCATAGGGGTTTTCGTGATCCATGTTGATGCTTTGCCATCCATCATCAATGATAAGGAATCGAGGAGGGATTCCATTTTCAGCGAAGCTCTTAACACCATGCCACACCCCTACTGGCTCTACTGTTAAATAAAAGGCATCCCAAGTGCACCAACCAAACTTATCAACGATTTTAGGAAGTGTTTTCTCTTTCAACAACCTAAATGTCCCCAAATGTACACGAATTGCAGCAAAAGCATCTCTCATCAAAGTGTATGGATTGTCACCAATATGAAAATACGTGCATGATGAGAATGAATTTCCCTTTACTTTGGTCGAGCCACTCTCAATGCATAATACCACTTCTCCAGTGACACCAGGATGAATAGCTGATCGAAAACTTCCTTCTATTAAAGGAATAATGAGTACATAAGAGTTAAGTTCAGGAACTTGTAGAAGGATCAATTGAGTCTCCATTTGAAGATCAGAACCACACGAACCGATCCACATAGTTGACCACCACGTCTTGAATCGAAAAATACTCAAGAACTTCCTGTTACTGAATCTTCCAATAGGATTCAATATTCTGTCAAGAGGTTCTTTCACAGAAATGCCAAGAAAAGCACCATTTTTAGCTTTGGATTGAACAGATTTTAGAATGTATGGAGGGGTAGAAGAATCAGTATCAGATGAATGAGGGACGGAACCAAAACTTGAAAGCGTTACATTGAAAGGAACATCAGACAAAAGGGTTATTGAATCTACAGAAATTTCTCCATCTGGAGAAAGAGAAAATCTGGAAGAAGGAAACTTTTCTCTTGGAGAATTACTTGATATTTTCTGAGGAACAAAATTAGGAGCCATGAAGGAACCAATTAAAGAATTACTCCTTTTTTGTATACAAACCAAAGGCTCAACAAAGATATAGTTGTAAAAAATCAAATTTGATGTCGCTCCGCAAGCAAGGAGCTCTACACGAGCAAAGCAAAAAAAAAAAAAAAGCAAGGGGAATTCTTCGATTTTGGGGGAGAAATCGTTACTTCCTATTTAATATATATACTGTACACAAGACTGAAAAAAGACTGCTTTTAGACGAAAACCAAGAATTTTGGCTGGAAAATTTCAATCCCAAAACAATAAAAACTTGAATGCTATACAGTCATACAGAATAAGCCACTAAAGCGTAGAATTGTAAAGAAAGATCCACTGGGAGGAATGAAAAATTAAAGAAACCCCGTTTGAGAAAGTAATGAACAATTCCAGAACTCGATGGAAAAAACTGGTAGGGATGTTTAGAATATTTAAAGACAAATGGGAGGTGTTAAGAGTGTTAATCATGTACATGAGTAAAGAAATTACTGATAAATCTTGACCGTCCATCAACTATTTGGTTAATCAATCAAATTAATCTCAAATTGAAGATGATCAAGATTGACTTAGTAGCTGGTATTTCTACAGACCAGCATGCAATAAAGTCCTCCAGCTGCAAAACTGATTGTTTTCAGAAGGAAACAAAGAGGGTGCAAGAATGGATTGACATATGAGAAAATATGAACAGGAAAATAAAGAAAATGACAAGAACAATCTCGGATTAGTTATGGTAAAAGATGATATTCTAAACTTAGATAACTATTAAGAGACTGTTTGACAGGACTTTTGAAAAATCAAAAACTGCAGATTAAAAAGTTGATTTTGAACATATTTATATAATTTTCTTAAAACAACGTTCTGACAAAAAGAATATTTAGAGAAAATTGATCTAAAATAACGTTCTGGGGAAATTATTCTACAAGAAGCAGAATCAAATAGGTCCTAAATATACGTCATGTGCATGTCTAATATACTATTTAAAACAAGATTTTGACGTAGTTTTGTGCTAAGTTGCAAATGCAATAATGAAACTTCAAAGAAAGTGAAATGATGAAGAAATTTTAAGACAGAAGGGGATTTAGTGGGACCCAGAGTCAAAAAGCAGCGTTAACGGATATTGAGATGGGACCCAGTTATCAATTACAGGTGTCCACCTGTGATTGGCTGATTCAAAATTAGTTAGTCGGCAGAAACGCGGT